GGAGCTGTAGGTCTTGCATTGCTGACGAGAGATAGATTCGACGTCGTCTGCGAAGGAAAGTAGGTACGGGACGGGCGCGACAAGGGTGAGGGCGACGGATTGCCGTCATCAGAGCAGGGAGAGGAGGGGGGGTAGGAGGAGGAGGAGGAGGGGAAGGAGGAGGGAGAGGAGGGTAAGGGAAAGGGGGAGGAGGAAGAGGAGCAAGAGAAAGAGGAGGAGAAGGGAGACGGGTAGGAGGAACAAGAGGAGTAGGGGAAGGAGGAGGAGGAGGAGAAGGACGATCAGCAAGAGGAAGAAAAAGAGGAGGAAGCGGGCGCAGCAGCGGGGGAGGAGGAGGAGACGGCGGCGGCGGCGGCGGCGGCGGCGGAGGAGGAGGAGGAGGAGGAGGAGGAGGAGGAGGAGATGTCTCGCCAGACGGCCCTGCAGGTCAAATCGAAGACGCTAAACGACAAATATCTCTTAGGAGATGAAATCGGGAAGGGCGCATATGGCAGGGTGTATAAAGGTGTTGATTTGCAGAATGGGGATTTCGTTGCAATCAAACAAGTGTCGCTGAAGAACATACCGTCCGACGATCTCTCCGGCATTATGCAGGAGATCGACCTTTTGAAGAACCTGAACCATAGGAATATTGTGAAATACTTGGGGTCCTTTAAGACGAAGTCACACCTCTACATTGTCTTGGAGTACGTGGAAAACGGCGCTCTTGCGACTATAATCAAGCCCAACAAGTTCGGCGCCTTCCCGGAGTCCCTCGTCTCCGTCTACATCGCGCAGGTTCTCGAAGGTCTGGTCTATCTCCACGAGCAGGGTGTCATCCATCGCGACATTAAGGGCGCCAACATCCTCACCACCAAGGAGGGGATCGTCAAGCTGGCGGACTTCGGCGTCGCTACTAAACCCGCCGAAGCTGAGGCCCAACCCCATTCCGTTGTCGGCACCCCCTATTGGATGGCCCCTGAGGTAATCGAGATGTCCGGCGTGAGTGCTGCCTCCGACATCTGGAGTGTCGGCTGCACTGTTATCGAGCTCCTGACCGGCGTCCCCCCCTATTACGATCTCCAGCCGATGCCTGCCCTGTTCAGAATCGTTCAGGATGAACACCCTCCTCTCCCCGAGAATGCGACTAAGTTGTTGTCCGAGTTCCTACTGCAGTGTTTTCACAAAGACGCCAAACTCCGACCCGATGCGAAGACTCTGCTCAAGCATCCGTGGATACGCAAATCTAGGCGCCAGCTCCAGGACACGTGGCGGCAAACTGGAGGCTTGAAGCGGCGGATGAGTGAACACGTGGCTCCGGTCGTCGAACGGACGTTCGAGGAAGGAGAGCGCGAGGAGACCTCCTCCTCTGTGAGCATACTCCCCTCCTCCACGGTGTTGATGACTAAGGACCCGTTTGACGACGACTCGGATTCCGACGAGGAACGAAGAGCGCTCTCCTCCGGGATGACCACTGTAGGACGTAGCAGCAGCGAAGACCCCGGGACCACAACCAGACGGCAGGCGCCAATTCGGTTCTCTGCTCGGCGAGGTATCATCAGGCCTGCGGGGTCGGAATTGAGCGAGGTGGGGTCCACGTGCGGGAACGGGGACACGTGTCAATCCCGACTGAAGGAGTCGGGGTGGGAGACAAAGACGGCGTTCCCGAGCGGGAGCGGCAGGGGGGAAGATGAGCATTCGACAGCCGCTGCTGCTGCCGGGGTGCCGCGTCGGCCACGGGTTGGTCGGTCGTGGCAGGAGGAATGCAACGTGTCGCAGGAGACCGTTAGCAGCTGGCAGAGCGTCGGGATCGCGATAAGCGCGAACGAGGGCGGGGGGGAGAAATGCGGAGGAGGAGGAGGAGGAGGAGGAGGAGGAGGAGGGGGAATTGAGGAGAGTGTCAGTGAAAGAGGGAGAAACAGAGCACTCTCGCGAGCGGAGAAGGAATGGGAGGCGCAAGCGCAGCCGAGAGTGGGAGGGGGAGGAGACAGGCTGGGGAGGGGGCCGGAGATGGACGTGGTGTCGAAGCGGGCGGCAGAAATCAAACGGCTTGTACAACTGCTTAGACCGGAACAGGAGGAGGAAGTTATACTGATGACTTGTCAGAAGCTTCTGGAGATTTTTCACGACTCTCCTGAGCAGAAATCCCTTCTCATGGCCACGCACGGGGTGATCCCGCTCATCGAGATGCTGGACAGTGCTAATTCCGATGTGCTGAACGCTATCCTGCAGGTGGTCAATCAGATAGTCAATGACAATGGGGAGTTCCAAGAGAGCCTCTGCTTGGTCGGGCTGATACCGACTGTGATGCGGTTTGCAGGGATGGAATTCCCGCGAGCTGTGCGACTGCAGGCGGCGCGGTTTGTGCGGCAGATGTGCCACACCAGCAGCCTGACTCTTCAGATGTTTATTGCCTGTAGAGGCCTCCCTGTCCTTGTCCAGTTTCTTGAACCGGATTACGTGGCCTACAGGGAGATGATTCACACAGCTGTCGACGGAATGTGGAGGGTGCTAGAGGTGCATAGCCCCACCCCTAGGAATGACTTCTGCAGACTCTTTGTGAAGAGTGGGGTGTTGGATAAGCTGGTGCAGACATTGCAGTGTCTGAACGATATAGTGAGGTATGGGGGTGATGGCGGTGGTAGTGGTGGTTGTGGAGCAGGAGCAGGAGGAGGAGGAGGAGGAGGAGGAGGAGGAGGAGGTGGAGGAGGAGGTGGAAGGGGAAGTAGGAGGGGTGGGGCATTTGTGGAAGCGGAAGGCGACCGAGGAAGTGATGCTGCAGCAATCAGGGCATCAAGCGTCTACTTCTCGGTCAGGAAAAGCAGTACAGAGTTCAACGATGTCCCGCTGTTGGTGGATGACAGTAAGGACAACTATAGTGGTGTGCCGATGACCGGATCGCCACGCAAGTCAATGGCGGATGTCGGCGTCTTTGTGGGGACGTCGTCATCACGCATGTATGGTTCTGCCGGTGGGGACTTTGACACTTCAAACCAATCGGTTTGTGTATCGTCATCTCTGATGTCAGGGCGATCGGCGAGGGGCGGTAGTAGACTGAGCAATGGCTTGGATGTAGGCAGAAGATCTGGTCCTCCTGTCGATCTCGAGCTCGCTCGCGAGTACATGCTCAAGGTAGCAAATTTGCTACTGGAGTTTTCCCAGGGTGACAGCGTTGTGAAGTCGTATATGTGCAGCTTCAGCGCGCTGCATGCCTTATTTAAGCTGCTGGACGTGGTCGAGCCCCCGATACAAGTTAAGCTCTTAAAATGCATTCATGAGCTGACCACCGATCCCGTCACACTGGAGCACATCCAGCGTGCAGGTGCCATCTATCACCTGGTTCCTTTTGTGCCCAGGAACGCCGATGGACCGCTTGCAATGGAAATCCTGACTGAGGCCTTGTCCTGCCTGGGAAACCTGTGCAAGGTGGACCGGACGAGGCAGGAGCGAGCAGTAATGTCGGAGATCATTCCACACCTGAAGCATATGATTCAGATGCATTCCCCGCTCAAGCCGATCGCGATGCCCTTGCTGGCCGATCTGGCGCACACATCGGGGCAAAACCGCCGTGAGGAAGCGTGGGGCCACGGCTGTCTGGAGGCTTACCTGGACCATCTGAAGGAGGAGTTGTGGTGCGCTTTGACACGGTTCGAACCGTGGCCAGGTTGCTGTTGCATAAGTTTCTGGAGACGGTCGCTGGAGTCGTCATCCGTGCAGGTGGCGTCGCAGAAGGAGCTGCAGTGCCCTCTATGTCTGGGCGTGACCAGAAGTGGCAGAAGCACTTCCATCAGGACTGGAAGGGCCAGTAGCGTTGCCGCTACTGAGAGTGGTGCGAGCTTAAGCACCAGAGCACTTCTTGCCGGGGGGAATGGGGGAATATGGGAGATAATGGACCGGAGCCAGGAGCAGGCACGTCCAGATACCATGTACTTCAGCCACAGGGAGTCCAGAGATTGGGTTCCACCCCCTGTAGATGTAACTGCGGAATGATCCGCTCGCTCGGGAAGCAGAGAAGGGTGAATGTTGGGAGGAGGGGATGGAGAAAGGAGTATGTGCAGCAGACATGCGTGCTCGAAATCCCGTGCAGGCATGCGTACTCTAGAGCGCGATTGCCGTCTCCTGGTCTCCTGTTCTGTTCATAGTAGTCAAAGTAGCATTTTTTATTTTTTTTCCAGTCATTTGCGTCTGCTGCAAATAGGGCAAGAGCGTGCGTCTTGTCTCCATCCGTTCCCCTGTCCGCGTAGGAAGAAGAGTGAGAGAGATTGAGTGCAATTGCTGGCGAAGGAGGATATGTGTTCACAGAGAATGCATGAGGTATGTATGGGCAGGTCATGGAGGAGGGGATTGATCTGAGGTGGCCGGGGGCGGGCAGAGGGGGGAGACAAGGGGAAGAAAGAGTGAGAGATCTATTGTAAAGGCGGTACAGATCTTTGTTAGCTTAAAAGGTGTAGATCAGTATATAATTTTGCTTGATTCGGAATGTGTTTCGATCTAATTATTAGGGCATTGATTGTTGTTGATGATGGGATCATCTTGTCGAGTCAATAAAGTAGTTCATCGAAGTTTCTGAAGAGAGGGACCCGTGGTGGAGGGGGGGGGCATGTGAGGGGGTGGCAGGGGGGCACGGGGGGCGGGGTAAATGAAGAGATTCACCACTGAGGGGGTTGAGTCTTTGTACACTTTTTCTCTTTCTTCTCCAACACGTGTGTCGCTCGTGAAATTCACAGCAAAATGGAAATGCCGAGTTGCTGCTCGAGCTTGCAAATCTGTGACGGACACTGTCTCTTTTCCAGGTTTTGTGTGTATGCCCCCAAGCCTAATTTCTGAGAGTTTGCGAGTTCGAACCCTTGATCTAGTCGAGTTCATTCATGATTACCATCCAGTGGCGAACCCCGCCTTCGATTCCAACACAGTTCGACAGTGTGCTAGTCGGTGAATTGACATGTTGGCAGCGCTCTTGGGAACGTGGAACAACGCAGACGCGAACCGAAGCCAAGTAGGATGAGAGTGGCAAAGCGATCGAGTCGTTAAATGGTTGATTGTATAATTTAACGTATACGAAGAATACATACCTCAAGTTCCTAAACAATAAGATCAGGGTTTTTACTCGCTAGCGAAGGAGGTTGAGCATGGGAAAGCGATCGAGTGGTGAAGGTTTGTAACTTGATTGCATAACTTTATGTAGACTGATAATATATACCTAAACGATAATATCGGGGTTTGATTACCACCCCACAAGCACATGCTTATGAGGGTGGAAACCATGGTTACGATCCGGACGTCTGTGTACGGGTCCTGTGTACGGGTCCGGCGTAACTGTGGTGTAAACTTTTCTAAGAGGCTGCACATTGAGTTTGAGTAGGAATATAAATAAAACACCTTCCGGGAGCAAACACAGGGCAACGAGGTTTTAATCGCCACCACAGGCACATGCTTAGGGGTGTATTAAATGTTTGAAGACGAAGACTATGTACGAGTTTAAACTTAGGAGTGTATTAACTGTTTGAAGAGGAAGACTATGTATGAGTTTAAACTTAAAACGTCTTCCAAGGCGAAACAGAGAGCAATGATGATGGGTAATCACTACTACAGCCACATGCTTATGAGGGTATAAAGTACTATAAACTTTTTAAAGGGGTATGAACTTTTTAAAGAGGTTAACTTTTTAACTAGGCTACCAGAGTGGCCTGGGACCCCACTTGCCCGGGCCAGGCCAAAAATAAATAAAATAAACTAAAATTAGTTTTTAATTTTAATTTTAATTTTGAATTTGGTAAAGAATTTCGATATGACTCTGAGGCAAAAGCTGCTCAGTTTATTTTTCTGCATAACGTAGTTTTTTTGGGGATTTTTTTTTTTTTTTTTTTTTTGCTGGGACCTTCCTTGGTCCTTGCACGGCCGGGCCGCCCGGGAAAACAAGGTGACCTGGGCGGCCCGGCTGGTAGCCTAGCTTTTTAAAGAGGTATAAACTTTTTAAAGGGGTATAAACTTTTCAAAGGGGAACATTATGCATGAATATAAAAATCTGTTAAGGGGAAACGCAGAGCATGCTGATCGCTGCAGAGGCGAAAGCCTCCAAGCAGAGCACAATTCAGGCAGAGCACAATTCATGAGCAGCTAGCTGTAGCTATATTTTAAAGCTTCCCCTCTTGTTGGGAAAGACTGGTCGGTTTCTTTTCTTTTTTCTCTTTTTTTTAAACCTATGAACCTGATATGAATGGATTTCATATTTGTGTCATTATCCATTGTAAAACGGGATTTCACAGGCCACATAGGTCAGCTTGTGCCCAAAACTGTATTTGCTGGAGGGTTTTGTGCCCCAATCCAGTTCGTGACTGTGGGTCAGTTCTAGGACTTGGGGTCTGGGACCCGGGGGTACAATTGCTCATGTTCAAACTCTGGGTACAACGGGGGGGGGGGGGTGGTTGCGATTTAGTGGGGCTGGGGAGTGGGGTGCCGAGTGTCCAGCGGTGAGCAACCAAGTGTGTTGTTGACTTATTGCACTGTTTCCATTTCTATCATTGTCGCTTCTACCCTTATCGCTCCTTCCCATCCCGGAGATCCCCTCTGTCCAGTGGAGAAGGTACGTGGTTGAGAAGGGAAGGGAACCGCGTCGAACCGATGCAGCAGTCAAGGAGGCAAAAGAAACTGCGTGGTGTAGTGTTGCACAACCCCGGTTTTTGCACTTTTCCGATGCGCTTGCCCTTCATTTTGATTGCCCAACTGGCGAACCCCACCGATCACAGAGTATCCACGTCGGCGGCGGGACTGCAAGGGTTGACGGGAGACGCCAGAGGGGTGGGGCAGGGGAATCGAGGCCAGGGGTTCCACTAGCCATTCGAGCTGGGTGGAGGCCAGGGAGCGACTGCGACAAGGATAAGAGGAGCAGGGATCCCAATGCTGCAGCACCAAGGGCGGGATGCAGATGTGAAGTAGCTTGGGCAAAGGACAAGGGCCTGGGGTTTGAGGGCGGTACGGACAGCCAGGGTGTGGGCATGGGCAAGCGAGAAGCAGCAGAGGCCAGGGAACGACTGCGACACGGAGACGCCAGAGGGGTGGGGCAGACGACTCGAGGCCAGGGGTTCCGCTAGCCGTTCGAGCGGGGTGGAGGCCAGAGAGCGACTGCGATGCTGCAGCACCAAGGGCGGGATGCAGATGTGAAGTAGCTGGGGCAAAGGACACGGGCCTGGGGTTTTGAGGGCGGTACGGACAGCCAGGGTGTGGGGATGGGCAGGCGAGAAAGCAGCAGAGGCTGTCGGTGTATGATGTGGCTTTGTTGAGAAAAGGAGCGCTGGCCCCATGGACTGTTCTGTACCGACCGAATAGGTAGGTATGTTGACATTTATATAATGTCCAATATATACGTCTATGCGTACGCATTCAGTCGCAGGTCAGCACACTGTTTGCGATTTTGCCGCTACCTCAGGCCACTGAAAGGTGCTTCGGTGACTTATGACGAAGGTGGTAAAACACACCGGCGGGCACAAACTTCATCGCGAAGACCACCTCACTCCATACTGAATTTCCAGCTACCTCACTCCAGACTCCATACTGAATTTCCATCAAATTTGAAATATTTTGCTTTCAACTTTTCAAGCATTAGCTGCTGGTTCAGGTAGTTAAAGTCATTCCGGTTACTTGCGGAAGTTACGGTAAACATGCGCATACTCACAGACCTGAACATTTTCTACAGACTGCGTTGACCCCCCTTCAGCGCCCCCCCCCTCCCCCCGGCCCCTGTTACGTCTTCTTCTTCTGCCCTTTGATCTTGCCTCAGGGTATGCAAAAACCCAGTGGAGTCTGACTTTGCCACAGTGTTTCGACTCTTTTTGTTAAATTTGAAATATTTTGCTCGTGCGACGAATTGGAGCAAAGTGTTTTTGTTTGTCACTCGTTGACCCTCCTTGCTGCAATTCATCGCGCGAGCAGGAGGGGCTGCTTGGAGTGCTGGACTGAAGGCGGTATGCAGGAGGAACACACAGGCCCTTCTTCTATTCTGGGGGGGGCACCCATCCGGTTGCTTATCACCAGCAAGCAGAAAAAACCAGCACGAAGTAACACTAAAGTTATCGGCACCGAAATTGGAAAATTTCAAAATTTTCAAAAAAAACATAAAAAAACAGGCAGAAAAGAATCCTGGTTGAATTTCATCGCGCGGGCAAAAAAAATAAAATTCAAATTTAACGGAAATTCAGTATGGAGTGCAAGCAATCTGTCTAGCAACCAATCGGAGGCGGGGGGGGAGGTCTTTCTGTTCAATTGAGGAACAGAGAGGTGGGAGCTGGTTTCCTTGCATCCCCCTCTAGCAACACACTTGGGGCTCTCTAAATTGGCTTTTTTTGGGGGGGGGACCGCTTGCTGATTTTATCTTTTTTTTTATATTATTATTATTATTATTTTTTTTTTTTATTATTATTTTTTTTTTTTTATGCATGTCATGCTTTTGCAGGGGCCACGCTGATCTTTTATGTATTATTGCAGCTTTGAACAGATGTCTCGGAAAACATTTTTCTATCTTTTTTTTTTTTTTTTTTTTTTTTTTTACGGATCACCCTGAAGCGGGTGATGCGAATCGATACCGTGCACAGGTGAGGTCTGTGATAACTTCAAAGTTCAAACCAGCAGAATTTTTTTTTTTTTTTTTTTTTTTTTCCCTGTAGATCTGGAAGAGCGGCGACTGTAGCTTTAGCGACACACTGACTGAAAAGTGGAAGCCGTATGACTATTTCTATTTTTAGCCATATGACTATCCGTACCACTTGTTCTCTCTGTTCCCAAAGAATTCAACTGAAAGTTGTAAAATACAGCCGAAAGTTCTTATGAACTTTCGGCTGGCATACAGATTCCTATCATAGGATCCACCTCCATGGTCTCCACCTCCCCTTTTCCTTTGTGCTTTTGTTTCCATTTCTTGTTTTATTTGTGGCGTCCTTGTGCGGGGTCCATGCTAATCTTCGCTGTATCGTTCCAATTTCAGTGGAGTGGATGTCGAGAAGGATGGTCACAACCTCGCTGCCGCCTATTGCCATGACAAACCGAAGTTTCTTAGAACTTTCTCCGTATAACGACACTGATGCCGCCCACTCGGGTCAGACGCTCTCTTCGATATCGAAATGAAATTATACTCTAGAAACAACACACACACACACACAAAAAAAAAAAAAAAAAAAAAAAAAAAAACATGTCATATTTTGAATCGAACAAATCGGAAAAAAGAAGCACCAGTTCAGTGAGCGAATCATCAATTCAATCAAATTGAATTCCATCTGTCTTATGGTTGTTATCTTGTTGCCGTCCACCAGAAAGGGAAGAAGCTCGGGGAGCGACGTATGCCGCTGTAGTCTGACTTGGCGGTGGGATAGGAACTGCCCTGACGCTCTCCAGAATGGAAATCAAGCCAGAGCTATCAAGACTCTGTTTCTTAAAAAAAAAAAAAAGCGAGTGACGACGCTGATGAGAGTGCGGTGCGCATTTTGCAGAGGGCCCTGTGGCAGGTGGCAGTAAGGTCACTCTTCTGAATTGGTGTTCATGCCCTTTTTTTTTTTCTTTTTTTTTTTTGGTGT